TATGATGTTATGTTGCCAGGAGGTATCCCAATGACACTGTAGGAAGTGAAGTTACACCTCTGGCCAGTGGCGTACATACCGGGTCGCCCCTGCGACCCGGTATGTACGCCCAGGGCCAGCCTCTTCCCCTTGGGGGGCCCAGGAGCACTCAGGGATTCCTCTTCAGCTCCCTCGCGCACCGCAATGATACCGGAGCCGGAAGATGACGTCATCTTCCGGCTCCGGCATCAGTACGGTGCGCGAGGGAGCTGAAGAGGAAGCACACAGAGAGTGCTCCCTCGCTCGCCGGGTGTCATGGAGATAGAGGAAATCTGAGTGAGGAGGGGGTGAGTGGGGGGGAGGAAATCTGAGTGAGGGGGGAGAGGGAGGGAGGAAATCTGAATGAGTGGGGGAGGAGGAAAATCTGAGTGGAGGGGAGGAGGGAGGAAAATGAGTGGGGGAGGGAGGAAATCTGAGTGAGGGAGGGGAGAGGGAGGAGGAAATCTGAGTGAGGGAGGAGAGGGAGGCAGGAAATTTGAGGGAGTGAGGGGGGGGAGAAAATTGAGTGGGGAGAGGGAGGAAATGGGAGGGAGGGAGGAAATTTGAGTGAGTGGGGAGAGGGAGGAAATTTGAGGGAGTGAGGGGGGGGAGAGGAGGGAGGAAATTTGAGGGGAGAGGGAGGGAAAGGAAGGAAATTTGAGGGAGTGAGGGGGAGAGGGAAGGGAGGAAATTTGAGGGAGTGGGGAGAGGAAGGGAGGAACTTTGAGGGAGGGAGGGGGGAGAGGAAGGGAGGAAATTTGAGGGAGGGAGGGGGGTGAGGAAGGGAGGAAATTTGAGGGAGGGGGGAGAGGAAGGAAATTTGAGGGAGGGGAGGGAGAGGAAGGAAATTTGAGGGAGGGGAGAGGAAGGAAGGGTGCAGGCACTGGGGGGCCCAGAACTTGAGTTGTGTCAGGGGCCCCATTTCTGATGGTAGCCCTGTGTGTGTGTGTTAGTGTGTCAGTGTTTGTTATTGGGTGTGTGTCTGCTAGTGAGTGTGTTACTGTGTGTGTCTGTTACTGAGTGTGTTTGATGTCTGTTAGTGAGTGTGTGTTTGTCAGTGAAAGTGTATGTTTTGTGAGTGTGTATGTATGTCTGTCGCTGAGTGTGTCTCTGTCAGTAAATGTGTGTGTCTGTTAGCTAGTGTGTATGCGTCTGTTCGTGAGAGTGTGTGTGTGTGTCTTCAGCATTTACCTTTCTCCAGCGTCGGACTCCCCAGTGTCCGCCACTCAGCTCCGAAATGCACATGCGCGGCAAGAGGCGCGTGCGCATTTAAACCGCCCATAGGAAAGCATTACTCAATGCTTTCCTATGGACGTTCAGTGTCTTCTCACTGTGATTTTCACAGTGAGAATCGCGGAAGCTCCTCTAGCAGCTGTCAATGAGACAGCCACCAGAGGCTGGATTAACCCTCAGTGAAACATAGCCGTTTCTCTGAAACGGCTATGTTTTCAGCTGCAGGGTTAAAACTAGAGGGACCTGGCACCCAGACCACTTCATTGAGCTGATGTGATCTGGGTGTCTGTAGTGGTCCTTTAAGTGTGTGTGCATACCGCGGGTCGCGGGGTCGCAGCCCTGCAACCCCTGCGACCATGTGTTATGACCCACCTGCGCCGAAAGTAGCTGGGGAGGCCCACGGATCAATTTTTGCACCGGGGCCCCATGGGTCATGTGTACGCCACTGCCTCTGGCAGTCAAGGGACACTAGAGCTATCAGAACAACTACTGCTTAATGTAGTGGTTCTTTTATTTATAGCCTGCACCGTGTAAATGCTACCTTCTCTGACAGTTCTAAAAAAAAATGGGAATTGGGGCCACACCTAAAACATGCATTTCCAAGCAGTGGTGCTGCCGTAAAGACCAAAACATATACAAAATATAGTTCAAGGAACAGCGCACACACAAACAAAAATACAGCTTTACATTTAACAATGCCACTGAAAATCACATATCTTATCAAATAAATATAGGGGTTAAGGTCCACCATATGGCCATATTGTGTTAAGCCCATCACTACTTCACAGTACCCCAATATTGGTGAGTCCTATACTAATTTAACATGGGAGATTTACATGCTAACTTGCAATATTTACTTGCAGTTTAAAATGCTTTAAGAGACTCCTCAATTTAAAGGGACACTATAATCACCAGAACAACTACAGCTTAATGTAGTTGTTCTGGTGAGTATAATTTCAGAGAAAAGGCAGTGTTTACTGGGGTTCACCAGGGGGCCTGGCTGCCCTGCGACCCGGTATGTACCCAGTGTGGCCAGCCTCTTCCCCTGGTGGGCCCAGGAGCCGGCCACCTCAGGGCCTCCCGAGGCTGACCCTGGTGTCACGGGCGGGCTGGCGGGCGCGCAAGGGAGCACTCTCCCCTGTGTGCTCCCTCTTCAACTCCCTTGCGCACCGCACTGATACCGGAGTCGGAAGATGACGTCATCTTCCGGCTCCGGCATCAGTATGCGGCGCGCGAGGGAGTTGAACAGGGAGCACTCAGGGGAGAGTGCTCCCTCGCGCTTCTGCCAGCCTGCCCGCGGGGTGACACCACTGAACCCCAGGAATTCCCTCAGCTCTCCCAAAGGTAGGGAGGCTGGGGGGATTAAATTTTTTTTTTAAAACGTGTGTGTGAGTGTGTGTGTGTTAGAGTGTGTGTGTTAGTGTGAGTGTGTGTTAGAGTGTGTGTAAGTGTGTGTGCTAGTGTGAGTGTGTGTTAGAGTGTGTGTGTGTGTGTTAGAGTGTGTGAGTTAGAGTGTGTGAGTTAGAGTGAGTGTGTGTGTGTGTGCTAGTGTGAGTGTGTGTTAGAGTGTGTGTGTGAGTGTGTGTGTGTGTTAGTGTGTGTGTGTTAGTGTTAGAGTGTGTGTGTTAGTGTGTCAGTGAGTGTGTTACTGTGTGTGTCTGTTACTGAGTGTGTTAGTTTGTGTGCGTCTGTTAGTGAGTGTGTGTTTTGTAAGTGAGTGAGTGTGTGTCTGTCTGCCAGTGAGTGTGTATGTATGTCTGTCACTGAGTGTGTATCTGTCAGTAAATGTGTGTGTCTGTTAGCTAGTGTGTATGCGTCTGTTCATGAGAGTGTGTGTCTTAAGCACTTACCTTTCTCCAGCGCCGGACTCCCTTGGCGCTGGGGATCTCTCCGCCCCGATCCGCCTCTCAGCTCCGAATGCGCATTCAAACCGCCCATACTCAATGCTTTCCTATGGACGTTCAGCGTCTTCTCACTGTGATTTTCACAGTGAGAATCGCAGAAGCTCCTCTAGCGGCTGTCAATGAGGCAACCACAAGAGGCTGGATTAACTCTCAGTGAAACATAGCAGTTTCTCTAAAACTGCTATGTTTTCAGCTGCAGGGTTAAAACTAGAGGGACCTGGCACCCAGACCACTTCATTGAGCTGATGTGATCTAGGTGTCTGTAGTGGTCCTTTAAGTGTATGTGTATTTGCATGCACTGGCGTACATACCGTGGTCGCAGCCCTGCGACCAGGTGCCCGCCGCCATGTGTTGCGGCCCCAGCCCGCGCAGAGTAGGAGCGCAGGGGGGCCCATGGATCAGTTTTCGCACCGGGGCCCCATGGGTTGTGTGTACGCCATTGATCCCCACGCTCTGTATGGAGACACTGAATTTTCCTCATAGAGATGCATTGAGGAGGTCCTGATTGACCAAAACGGCATTTTAATTTAACAAGGCTACTGAAAATCACATATCTTAGCAAAAAAATATGGGGATTCAGTTGCACCATGTGGCCATATTGTGTTAAGCCCACCACTACATCACAGTACCACAATGGCCGTATGGTGGAACTGAATCCACATACTTATTTGCCAAGATAGGTGATTTTAATTAGCCTTGTTAAATGTAAAACTGTATTTTTGTTTGTGTGTGCGCTGTTCTTTTAACTGTATTTTCTCTGACAGTTCTCATACACAAATTAAACTTAGCCAATCCAAAAACACAATCAATCTTAGTCAATATGTACACCAAGAGAAACAAGTAAAATAGGCGCTAACCAAAAGTCTAAAAGATATCTAAAATATCTTTATTAAGAACAACACTTACTAAGTGAATAAAAGCAGCTCCCCTTACAAAGTGCAATAGCTCAAAAACACTTAAACCAACACAAATTTATAAAAAAGGGTGCGCTGTGTCTTTAAGACAAAATGTGCAATACTTGACAATAATCACAAAGCGTGATATAAAAACTTATTTTAAAGTGCCTGGTAATAAAAAAGAAGAAATTATTATGCAAAAATCATGCAAATTGTGATATTTATATATTGTGCAAACAAATATATAAAAGGTGCAAAAAATATATATATACCCGTGCTTTCACTGTAATAAGGGAGCACTTACACTGATAGATCCACTTGGTTCAGCTTGGGTAATTCTCTCCAGTATTCATAATGTACATAATATTAATAAAAACAGAAGGGAGAGATTTATAGTGTAACATAGTTTATATAGAATCCCACTCACAGGTAGAGAGCAGTGAAGTGTTCTCTAACTATTTGCACTTTTGGTATCTCCTTTAACAAGGACCAAATCATAGCAGTAAATCGGATATAATCTTTATTTCACAATCTTCACATTAAACAGCCACTTGGCATTTCACCTCCCACTCCTTCTGCCACCTTTCTGAATGGAATACAGTCCGTTCAGTATCGCTGCCGGCTAGCCCTTTACCGCGGGTTCCAAATACAGGTACTTCCTGGAGGCAGGATGAAGCTTTATTTTAAGGAAAATAGATGGATTTCTGAATACGCCAACACCAGGGGGAGTCCCTGTGAGGAAAAGGTCCCCAGGCTTCAATGTGACAAGCTTTGAGACCCAAGCTATCAGAGCTCCTGTTTTGAAGACCATCTGGTTTGTGTTACTGTCCTGCACAAGGTTTCCATTTACATGGCAGCGGATCCCAAGACAATGTGGGTCTGAGGGCAGAATCAGCCCTCAGACCCACATTGTCTTCGGCTGATCATTTCATCATTCCACACGCAATCACAATTAGCCAATGCCACTCTTAATCACACTCAGCAAACTCCATGCAAAGTCACACTCAGCCAACCCCCACACACAATCAAACTCACCCGAATTCCACACACAATCACAATCTACTTCACAGAGAGCCACGTGGGAGGAATGCAGGGAGGAAGAGGCTGGAGGCAGCATGGAGGCAGAAGAGAGGCTGAAGTGAGCTGCTGCATGCTCACTCTCATCAGCATCAGCCACCATCACCAGGACTCAATCAAGCTACCCTTCTGGACATAAAAGGTAAGCTAACAGGAGGGTGGCTGCAAATACAAAAATTTTAACATGTATGTTTATGTGTATCTGTGTGTATCTGAGTGTGCGTGTATGTCAAATTGTGTGTATCTGAATGTCAGTGTGTGAATCTGAGGGTGTCTATATGCAGTGTGTATGTGCCAATGTGTGTATCTGTGTGTCAGTGTGTGTGCATGTGTCTTAATAGTGTGTGTAAATAGTAGCAATATGTTGTTAGATAGTTGTATTCTGTCATAATAAAATGTTGCTTTTCAACATACATAGGGAACTGCACTCACTCCCATCAATCTGAGCCAGGGTGCAACTAAACCAGGACCAAGCATCAGGTTCCAATGACAATAGCATGTAGTATAAAGATGGTTCAGGCACTCCAGGTTCAGAAAAGGCAAATTTATTAGAACTCACAGCAACGTTTCGACCTTGCTGTCTTTGTCAAGCTTGACAAAGACCGCACGTTCGAAACGTTGCTGTGAGTTCTAATAAATTTGCCATTTCTGAACCTGGAGTGCCTTAACCATCTTCATACTATATAACAAAATGTTGCGTCCTCTTTCATACATATTTGGTGGCTATGTGTATCAGTAATGGGGGCGTGTGGTGGCAGCACACATATAGGAGGAGTGGCGTTGCGGTGCGCATAGGGGGTGGACGCAGGAGATGGTGTTTGCTATAATGTCCCTTTAAATATACAATTTTAAGAGAATAGGGAGCATCACATCAAGAAGGGAAAAAAAGTTAACACAAGTTAAAGGGTTATTTTCACTGTTTTATTGAAGGGTGTGACTTCCCTAGTAGTGACAGTAATAGTTCAACACAGTATTATTTAGACTCTATACTCCAAAATGTAATCTGAACAGCAAAATTCACTCTAAAATAACCATGTGTCTGCAGCTGAGTTGCAGTATTTTATCTTATTCCCTTACTCTCAATTTTTATATTCAGATTTGAATTCAATTAATTTCGATTTGCAGTGAATACATACCCATGCCTCCTTTTTTTTTTTTGCCCTAAACAAAAATGGCGCCGCCTTTACGTTAAGGCGCTTCATTCGACGTTCGCGTGATGACGCCATCGCGCACCAGTGGCAAGCTCCAGCCACGGCACTGATGTACTGTAACTTCTTTGATGCTTGCCTGATGACTGTTGGACAGGTATTTCCTTGGGTTATTTTCGCATTGCTCGGACTGTGAGTGAGGTCACCGGGCGGCCTCTCGTCCCGTCCGACGGGCCGAGGACACAGCGGGAAGGTGAGGCGGGCTGAACTTCTCTTGTTATCTTGACTTGTTAACCTGCTTTTATGGCCCTCCCTTTCAACGGCATGGTTTCCCCCAAGAAATACAAAAAACCTGCGAGGTGGGCTGTACCAAACTGACATCATTAAGGGGTGAAAGTGGCTTTGTGCAAACTGTATACAGAGAGGCCCTCCTATTCCTTATTGACATTGCTGCCCTTTATAAGGAAGTACGTGTCATGCCTGGTGCAACTGTGTCTCCAACTTTGTGTTTTGTGTGGGTGATATCTCCTTCCCCTTACTCCTGGCAATGGGGTGTCATATCCAGATAAAGCAATGATGGCTAACCTTTAGGCTGGCTGAGCATTGTTGGGAGTGTAGTTCATATAAACTAGGGTTCTCCATAACAGGGTCAGGACATGGTTACACACACACCAGTCACAGTGTATTCAGCCTGTATTTGCCTTAAATTCTTTTCCCCCAGAAATTGCAATTGATGTAAACAGACACAAAAAAAACCCACTCCTAGTTTGTTCCCAAATAATACTTAATATTGAAAGAGAGAGGTCACACTGAATGATTTGTGCTACAATAATTGTATATTCGTGTAAATAAATATAATGTAGTAATCATCATAATCCTAAAACAATCTAGTCTGCTTTTTTTTTTTATTTTTTTTTACTTCTAGTATATGTGTAGTGTGTTGGTAGTTAATACCCTTCACTAGGCACATGAATACATTTACATATACACGAATACACTCATAAGTTTCACAGGATGTGTATTTAGTATATAGACAATGATTCCTTTGAAAGGTATTAAGGGAAACTGTAATATGACTTTGGCGTTTTGGTAAGCATAGACAAGTCTTATCTGATTTGTAAATTATGTGAATTGTCACTGGAAGAGCGTTTTGGTTGAATATGTAGAAGTGCAGTGTAAAAAAAAAAAAATGTAATTTATATTATGATGTATGAGTCCTTACAAAACAGAATGCAGGTAATTAACACCCAAATTAGGTGTGAGCACGCATTGTTTGGAATGCTGTGAAAACAAAGTTGCAGCTCTGTGTTTTGTCAACAGTTGCAGTGTTTTGTTTTTTTTTATTACTCAAATTTACTGTTCCTCATAATGATAGAGTTGTAAAACTTTACATGTATGAAATCCGTGAGAAGATTTGTGTATTGGGCCTTATTTCACAATGATATATACCTTCAGTACCATGGTTCCAAAATCCTCAGGTCTGTTATGCCATTGATTTTGAATGAGTTAAATTTTGGGGGATTTATTGTCTTTATGGGACTTGTGACATCACCTGGACATTATGACCGTTGAATAGTGCCACTGATTGGTGTTTTGGAGTTGGGGGATAAAGACCTGTTAGAAGCTGATAGAAGTTACTTTTTAAAGGAACACTCCAAACACCATAACCACTACAGCACACTAGTGGTTATTCTGCCAGTTGAGCAATGCCTTGTGAACTCGATTGTTACATAATTGACTTTTTTCTTGGGGTTTGCTGAATGCCTCTCTCTGCTTCTTCCCTTCTGGTACTGAGAGCCGAACGTTAATGCTAAGAATTAACATTGGCTTTCTTTAGGTAAGCTTTTAAGTGTAGGCAAGCTCATTGGCTGAAAGTGTCAACTGATTCCCCTCAGTCAATGGGTTAACCCTGTCTTGTAGACAGAGAGCTTCTGGCTCTTATAGACAAGTCCCTGACAGACCTCTACAGACATTCAAAAGTATTTATAACAAAACGCAAACCTTACAATAACATACCTCCCAACATTGGGTGAAAGGAATGCAGGAAGGTTTGGGGGCAGGCTAGCCATAAAAAAGGCACGGTGTCAGGCTGGCATATGAGCACACTAGACTGACTGACTGACTGCTATAGTGGCTAGTCACAATCAGGGCTGCACGTGTGTAAAGCACACTCTCATAGACTCAATGCCCTGAGTTTACATGGCCCAGCGTAAGCATGTCTGATATATTTACACTGATCCTTCTGAGGACAAATTTCTGTTTGGATAAACGTAAATAACTCCGGGGCGACAGAATATGAGCCCCAAAACAGAACCGTCCTGCTGAATCCAGGACTGTTGGAAGGTATTCAAAAAGATAAGCAAAAAAATACTAATTTCCTGAAGTTATCAAAACAGACGTGTGAAAACTCCAACTTTTGTCACCCACCTTGCATCAATAATGTTTTATAAATTTTTTTTTTCTTCATACCTAAAATATCAATCCTTCGTGTTTTCCACATATTTATTCACTCGTCTTCACCAACCACATATACACTTCTATATTCTTCAGTCTATCATCACTTCCATTTCTCCATCTATATTAACTGCCCATTTGTATTTTCACCCCTCTATCTCCCTGATGAATGTCCTTCCCCAAGCAAAAATTCATACTGTTATCTACCTTTCATTCTTGCTTCAGCAGAGACTTACGTGTTTGTTTATGGCTGGCTGCAGCAGGGTACATCAAGTATCCTAATGTTGATCTCTTGTGGCCTTAGGGTTCTGGCAAAGTTATAGTAGTTGTACTTACCTTAGACCAGCTGATTTTGACTAATTTCAATACACAATCCACTAGAAGCATGAAATGAAAGCACGAATTTTATTGAAATGACCACTTTGTAATTAGTTGAATGTGCTACATTTGATTTAGCAGGCAGTGGAACAGCATTTGGAATTTGGTGAATGAACCACAAAACATAAACCTATGACATACCATTGCATTACCTTCCCATTTTGACCAATGATAATGATTGTAAATTAAGTTATTTCTTTACTAATTATGCAAAAATTATGTAAAGTGAACACACAAAAAAATTATATAAATAAATATATTTCTGAAACCTGATTTGTGCTACTACTGTACAAAACCCCATATTGTATTCCACTACATCATCTTTTGCGTACATACCAACAATGTATGCCTTTGCCACTATTCTGTGAAACTCCATATAAGCAACCTAACGATTTCAGTTTTTCCCATTACATTTTTTCCCAAAGTTTGTATTATTCATTTTTATTTTTGCAATATTATATGTCCATTCAATTGTGTATTCTTTTTTTAAATTTTTTTTTTTTTTTAAATCACGTGTCCCATTGAAATAAAATTATTTTATTGGTACTCAGTAACATCTCCTGAGTACAGTACCACATTTGTATAACTTTGCAAAGTACCAGACTAAATCCTTAATCCTATACCAAACCCAAATCCCAAATCTAACCCTAATTCTAATAGTAAACCCTTAATCATAAACCATACCCTAATTCTATGCCTAGCCCAAATTCAGCTGCAGTGTTGTCTATAGGTTTAAAGGACTATATGCAATGTTGACTTTTAGCACTGTATGCAGCTCATCAAAAAGTCTGGGACCACTAAAAATAACCACAGCTGACACAGGGGAGGCCTCAGGTGTCTATTCATTTAATCCTGTTCACACTGCATTGTAACAATGGGAATTTAATTGTACATTTAAATCCCTGATTGGAGCGCTCGCTTGGAGATCTGCAAACAGATCATAGTTTAGTCTGGGGACACTCATTCTGGCCCAAGCTGATAGAGGGGGGGCCTTCAGGTGTCAAAAGGTAACCGGGGTTCATTGCTACCATTTGCTTTTTCCATAACGGTCTTTGCCATCACTGGGCATTAAAGCCCTGCATTGTATGATGGCATAGACAGTCATGTGGTCCTTAATAGGGATCGACCGATATTGATTTTATTTATTTATATTTTTTTTTTGAGCAGATACCGATAATCTGTGAACTTTCAGGCCGATAACTTGCCGATATTCTGTACATTTACCATTTTGAAAAAATAAACTATTTCTTAAGGTAAATGCACAAAATATACATGCTACATGTAGTGTGTGTATAGTGAATGCAGGGTGTGTTTGTGTAGTGTGTATAGTGAATGCAGGGTCTGTGTGTATAGTGAATGCAGTGAGTGCTTGTGTAGTGTGTGTGTGTATAGTGAATGCTGTGAGTGCTTGTGCAGAGTGTTCGTGTGTGTATAGTGTGTGCGTGTGTGTGTGTGTGTGTGTGTGTGTGTATATATATATTTATATTGTGTGTGTGTGTATATATAGTATGTGTGTGTATAGTGTGTGTGTATAGTGTGTGTGTGTGTGTGTGTGTATATATAGTGTATATAGTGTAGTATGTGTGTGTGTGTGTGTGTGTGTGTGTATGTGTATATATATATATATATATATATGTGTGTGTGTGTGTGTGTGTATTTTTTTTTAAGTAAATGAAAATGATAGATTTAACAGAAAAAATCCACCTCAACTCAATGAATTGAGTTCAGTGATTAGTGAATGGCTATTTGTACTAGATGTAATACGACGCTTATTCGTTATGATGCCAATGTATATGTCCGTGACTCACTGTATCAAATGTTAAAGTAAAAAAACATGTAAAAAAAAAAAATTAAAATGCTATGTAAAAGTAAACTTGGCCTTGGTGTTATCAGCACTCGCATGCATAGAAACCCAGGAAAGACTGTCAGGGAAGTGCTCAGTGAACTGTTTAGCAGGGAGTTACAGTACAGAGCTCCTTTTCTGGGTGACATTCACATTCTGAAGATAAATATTGTGGAAGCTTTTTTTTTTTTTTTAGTGTTTGCTAATGTGTATTTCAAGGAACACTCCAAAAACCATAACCTCTACAGCTCACTGTAGTTATTGTGTCAGGAGTGCTCCTCCTAGAGTAAGGAATTAAACCTTTTAAACAAGTTTAACCCCTTAAGGACCAAACTTCTGTAATAAAAGGGAATCATGACATGTCATGTGTCCTTAAGGGGTTAACAACTTACCTGAGTCCCAATGGGTGACTGCTGCCACCTACCATACTTTCAGAAGCTCTTGCAACTAAAGTTTTTCCTGGCTGTGTAGGCCCTCATACATTGACAGATTGTGCTTAACTCGACAGACGCAGCCAATGAGCCTACATTGCAGGGTTTGGGTCAGTGAAGGAATCTGAAAGCTGCATTGATGAACTTCCAGCAACAGGGTAGCAATAGGTGGCAGCAAGGGCCTGGCAAGTTGTCAACGGGGCACTCTGTAAATGGATTCCAGGAACAGTTTGAGGGCTCAGATCAGCAATCCCTGTTATAGAATTCAGAAAAGTACGTTGTCGGTCAGAAAAAATAACCAATCGTCTGAAAATTAGAGTGTAGGTCAGTAGATAACCATTTGTGATTGCTTTGTGTTTAAACAAAGACCTACTTTTTTATTTTTAGTGAATGATTATTTTATTTCTTTTTGTCTTTGCAGCAATGGCAATGACTGAACAGACCCCATGCTTCCCTATGAGCAATCACACAAAGGAGCGAGTCACCATGACTAAAATGACATTGGAAAACTTCTACAGTAACCTAATCACCCAACACGAAGAACGGGAACTAAGGTACACACAATTGCCATTATTATTATTATTATTATTATTATTATTATTATTATTATTATTTATATAGCGCCATCAGATTCCGTAGCACTGTACAATGGGTGGACTAACAGACATGTAATGGTAACCAGACAACTGGATGTACAGGAACAAAGAGGTAGAGGGCCCTGCTCAATGAGCTTACATTATAGAGGGGGTGTGGCATAGTGATACAAAGGGTAAAAGTAGGGGTACGAAGTAGGTTGTTAGAAAAGCATTAATTGAGGGCTTAGTAGGTAATTTTTGACAGTTGCAGGAGAGAAGTCATGGGGGGTGGGGGGATAAAAGCCTGCTAACAGTTTAATTGATATGCTTTCTTGAAGAAGTGAGTTTTCAATGATTTTTTTGAATGAGTGGAGACTGAGTGAAATTCTTACAGAGAAGGGAAGGGAGTTCCACAGAAGAAGTGCAGCCCTGGAGAAATTGTGGAGGCGAGCATTAGAGGTGGGAGTATGGACAGAGGCTATACGTAGGTCTTTGGCAGAGCGCGGGGCCTCGCCGGGACATACTTGTGTATTACAGAGGATAGGAGGTTGGAGCAGCATTATGTAGGGACTTGTAAGCAAGCACCAAAATTTTCAATTGAGCCCTATATCGAACTGGAAGCCAATGCAGGGCCTGAGAGAAGGGGGAGGTGCGAGCGTACAGGAAAATGAGCCTCGCCGCCGCATTCATTATAGATTTCAGCGGTGCAATCTGGGAACACGTAAGACCACTGTGAAGGGTATTGTAGTAGTCAAGGCGAGAGAGTGAAAAAGAGCATGGACCAGCACCTTAGCTGCATCCGGGGTTAAATAGGGGCAGATGCGCGCTGTGTTTTTGAGATGGAAGCGACATGATTTGGTGATTGATTGGACATGAGGGGTGAAAGAGAGGTTGGAGTCAAAAAGAACACCCAGGTTGTGAGGTAGAGGTGATGGTAGCGCCGTTGATTTGGAGGGAGACACACGGGAGTAGCAACACTTGAAGGAGGAAAGACCAGAAGTTTGTTTTGGACAGGTTGAGTTTAAGGAAATGAGCAGCCATCCAGTTGGAAATCGAAGACTGATGACTGATTGTCTGTAGAATTGGACTTGAATGCTTAGAATGATTCTCACCTCTCTTGTTTTATGTGATGTTATGACCTACTTATTAAAATGTTTGTGAATACAACTGTATTATATGGGGGGCTTGCAGTTGTATGCTTCTTTAAGATGTTATTCCTGTTTTCAGGAATGTTTTAACTTTTCCTTTTGCATAAGTACTTACTATATACACATGGCATGTAGCTTAATGAAAGATATTGTAGTCCTTTTGTTCATTGTAAAAAAATGGTAAAAATGTACTATGTGCACTTAGAACAAATGAATATAGCTAGATAATGTAATATTAGTGGTAGACAAAGACCATATGGATGTCAGATTCTACTGTAACATAATGTTCCCTAGCCAGCCATCATACGACTGGAAGGCCTGCCTCTATTGTATGCTGTGCACTAATAATTCAACACAGTTTCTTTTGTCTCAGTGTGTTTTTGTGTTTATATGTTAACGAAGAGATCTGCATATGACAGACCAGTCTGTTTTTCAAGTCATAAATGCAAAATACAAATAGACATGAATAACGACTAAAAAAGTGTGTGTGTGTGTGTGTGTTATTAAACAGAGGATATATCCGGCTGACTTTTAAAATTCTAGAACTGTATGTTTAAAAAAAAGTTTAAGGCTAAGCTATAGAATTGGATGTAAAGCAACACTTTCTAATCAAATGTCTCTTTTCATGCACATTTTGTCTTCACATTACTACCTCTATTTGGCTAGATGCAGCCCTAGCTGTGAGCTTTCTGCTACTCTTTCATAATGGGCATGGCATGAATGTGTTCTAAACATTAATGTTTTCTCTGGATGGGGAAGGAATGTGCTGACGTCATTAAGGGCTATAAGCAGAATACAAAGCCGCTTTCAAAATCCTTCTGCAGCAGTTAGCCCTTTTAGCACCTTGAGCATGTGTAGTAAATTCAGCAATTAATATGCAAATATCCTTCATTACTTTAATGGCTCTTTACTTTGTTGTAGAAAACATTTAAGTGTGTATGTGTGATTCTCTAATACAGTGGTTCCCAAACCAGTCCTCATGGCCCACCAAAAATCCAGGATTTATGTACACCCTGTTTTATTCCAATGGAGATACTGACAAAACCTGGACTGTTGCTGGGTCTTGAGGACTGGTTTGGAAAACACTGTGCTTAGTACATTGCTGCTCAACAGTAAATGGTACATATTGGAGGCATGCAACAGATAGGTTTTATGAATTCCTTGTATTGTCCTTGCTAGCTATTCCGGGCAGTTTGTTAGAGCTGCTATAGTATATGCTAGATAATTCAATCCTCTGTAGCTCTGCAAATGTATATAGGCAAAGTGTAATATGCAGAGATACATACAATTTATTTATCTGGTCTTTTGGATCAGAATCCAGCATTGATTTAAAAAAGTTGTGTTTGAAAACCGTATACCGTAGCATTTTTGTCTTTTCTCTAATTATGTACATGTTGTTTTGGTGCTCCACGCAGGAAATGTATCATACATAATGACACGGACTGTCTGCAGTGACCCTGTAGGTTTAAAGGGTCTCTCCAGTGCCAGGAAAACAAACTGTTTTCCTGGCACTGCAGGTCCCCTCTCCCTCCCACCCCCCCATCCCATGTTGCTGAACGGGTGAAAACCCCTTCAGTGACTTACCTGTACCCAGCACTGATGTCCCTCGGCACTGGGTTTGGGTCCACCCACACTCCTCCCCCGCCGACGTCATCCGGCGGGGGTGACCTATTTTATGCTCGGCCGGCGGCAGGGGAGACCATAGCGTGAGGACGTCCAGCGATGTTCTATGAACACAGAAGTGTCCTCTAGTGGCTGTCTATTAGACAGCCACTAGAGGAGGACTTAACCCTTCAAGGTAAATATTGCAGTTTATAAAAACTGCAATAATCACACTTGCAGGGTTAAGGGTATTGGAAGTTGGCACCCAGACCACTCCAATGGGCAGAAGTTGTCTTGGTGCCTGGAGTGTTCCTTTAACAATGCAATTTAAAACATGGCAGTTTTTTTAGAATCAGCAATGTTTGTGTTTAAGAGTTAAACACGTCTGGTGTCTTCTTCCAGCCACTAATGGTGCTTAGTGTGCAACATCCGAGTGAAACTTAGTCATGTGACATTTGCCGTTTAATGAGGACGTTGGACATCCTATGAGAAGTCTTTGCTTGGAAGTGCGTGTTGCTTGCCTTGCATGCACAGCCTATCACCAATGCCCTTCTATTAGGAGCATTGGATTGGATGATTGGTGTAGAAGCGACGCCTCCTGAGGACGTAATGAAAGGCGGTGCAGCACCGAGGGTGTCTCAATACTTTCCATTATTTCAATTTATTTTTTTTCTAATTGTGATGGTTCCCTCCCCACCAATTATTAGAACATCTCCATAACTGCTATTATTTATTTTTTATTTTTTTAGGCAGAAGAGGCTAGAAAAAGTCATGGAAGAAGAAGGCTTACGAGATGAAGAGGTAATAGAATGATATACCCACAATATTGTATCACATAATGAAATATAAGCATCCTTGTATTAAGTGACATCTTTTACTTAGTTCTTATAACATCAGTGTCCAAAAGATGCAGTGACTTGCAAGAGCTAATTTTTCTACGTTTGTTAAAGAAAATGACACAAATTACCACAATGTTGTAATATTTAGGCTAAACTCTGGTCTACATTTTGTAATCGTGTGTCAGTATTTCTATTTATTAGATTAAAAATCTGATTTAAAAATCAGAAGAATGCCATTGTTAAAGTGGCTCTCTCACAACAAACTTGTCTTTCTCCAATTTATTTTTCTCTCCGTCTCTCCTCTCCGTCTCCCTCTCCCTCTCCCTCTCCTCTCCCTCTCCGTCTCCCTCTCCGTCTCCCTCTCCGTCTCCCTCTCCGTCTCCCTCTCCGTCTCCCTCTCCGTCTCCCTCTCCGTCTCCCTCTCAGTCTCCCTCTCAGTCTCCCTCTCCGTCTCCCTCTCCGTCTCCCTCTCCGTCTCCCTCTCCCATTAGGAATTGTCTTATGTATTGCAAGCACCACTTCATTTGTCAAGTCCCATTTTCTCACAATTCCAACTATGCATCAATTCCATCTTCTGTCCTCTCTAATCTTGGTATCCATCTTTTTTGTTTTTAAAATTTTATTTTTTTATTTTTTTTTATTTCACATGCCCACTTTCTATTACATTGGGGATGATCAGAAATGAGGGGGGAAGGGAGGGCAGAAGAATGCAGTGACCACACCTCACTGCCAGGCTTCTGCAGATGGCACCGAATAGGATCTGAGCCCAGTCACTTAAGAGCTTTTCAAGCTATCTTGCCACATTGGGAGTATGGGAGGATATATAGGTTTGGAGGAAACGATAAAAAAGAAAACAAAAAAATGTTGCATATGATTAAGCCTCTTTAAGTTAATTTAAAAAAAAAAAAAATGTGATGGTAACCAAAAAAAGGTAGCTCTGCCTTTTTTTTAAGTGGTGAGAAATTACATATGGCAAAATAGTCCCTAATTTGCCTTGTGTATTTTAGGAGTATAAAAAAAGAACGGTAGAACAGATTAGGAGTGAGCAAGAGTAATATTTTGAAGTTAAAGGGACACTATAGTCACCAGAACCACTACAGCTTAATGTAATGGTTCTGGAGTCTATAGCATGTCACTGCAGTCTTAGCACTGTAAATGGTGCCTTTTTTAAGGAAAAGGCAGTGTTCACATTGCTGCCTAGTAACACATCTGGTGACAGTCACTCAGGTGACCACTAGAGGTGCTTCCTTTTCCAGTGCTGCACAGTGTGCAGCACCTACGTTCAGCGCCTCCATTCAATGCATGAGGAGATGCGGATTGGTGCAGCGCAGAGTTTTGCCACAAAGCATTGGGTTTGCTGAGATCATCAAAACTGATGCTCTCAACCGTGGAGGCGGGGCAAGTTGCCGGCATGACTGTGGGAAAAGGTACATTTTTTTTTTTTTAAAACATCTTTTTATATCCACAGAGAAGGGGGCCCGGGACCTAAATATGTATTCCAGCACTATAGTGTTAGAATACATGTTTGCAATTCTAAAAATATAGTGTTCCTTTAAGTTTAAGGTTACAGAGCTGCTTCCAGTGAGGGTGCTCAGGCTGCTGTGTGGAGTATCTTCTGATGTTGGATTATAGGTAACTTTAATTGTGGTTTTAGGCAATTTAAAAACAAATCTAAATAGGTTAAAACACTCTTCTACAAAAAAAAGGTAAATAATGTTATAATTTAAACAGATTATTAGTTTATTTGTAGCTACCTTAATATGTAAGAAATCAATTTCTTATTTTTAATTTTATTTATTTTTTGGTAGAAAAAAATGCGAAGGTCAGCACATGCACGAAAAGAGACTGAATTTTTACGACTCAAAAGAACGAGGCTAGGACTGGAGGATTTTGAGTCCCTTAAAGTGATTGGGAGAGGAGCTTTTGGAGAGGTATGGTAGTAGCATGCATGCTTTAATGCTCATGTTGTGTGAACTACTTACTCACAGGCTATTTGAACATATGGTTGGGATTCTTTACAAGCTAATAAGCATATACCACTTGTTCATTTTTGTTAAAGTGTAGTAACCTTCATAAATGATGCTGTGTGTTTGGAGTAAGTTACAACGTTATATTTGTTAAAAAGAGACTGAAGTCAATCAAGTTGAACCTTAAGTAAGAGTATATGTAAAATCCACTTGCTCATTCATGCTGTAATAGTTATAGAGCTTTGCAGTTTTAATTAAAGTGTTACTTCAATCAACATGACCATTTCGGTGGTTTGAAATCATTACGGTTCCTCAAGTCTATGTTCAGAGTCTCACTTTAAAACACGCTGTTGGATTAACTCCACTTCCGGAAGTGTCATAGGGGGCGTCATTAGCCTGTCTGGCTAATGATAATTCTGATTGCATTTATTGGCTGAAAGCTGATGGTCTTCATGAATGTAGACTGGATCAGCTTTTACAGCTTTGCAGAAGCCCTAAGAGCATCTTCTGGTTAGGCAGCAGCCTCAGGGACCCAGGGAAGGGGGCAATACGTTTAGCAACATTACAGGTGGCTGCACCAGAGTACATAACCACTAATGCGGGCTTGGAGTAGCACTTTAATATTAATCTCTACATTGCTGTTATTTCATGCATGCATTCAAACAGAGCCCCCATTGAACTGCTAAAATTCAAGTTGCTGGGGAATTGCTAAAGTTCTCTCGGCCCGAGTATTCCTTGAAGTCAATGTGGGTTCAGTGGTGCCAAATTAATGATCATAAGTGAATCCTTTTCACATAATTTTACTGAAGCAAGCAGTCATTAAAATTCACATTTCATGTTTTATTTAGTGAATTTTAAAGGGATAGTTGTATGCATTTATATATGAAAGTTACATGGTGACTTCCAATATGTTTAATAAAGGGAGTCGGTAAATGTACAGATGAGCAGATATTTAGCATTTTTATTACATCTATTACTTCCAGCTCTAGCTGCGTACTATCCTCACAGACGTGCAGACACGTATGCATGTACCTTGGCATCCTTTGCTAGAGAGCTTTTGACTTAGGACATAGTTCAAAGCATGTATAATAAGAGTGAGAATCTGCACTCAACAAGAGTTAATATATCGGTGGCACTAAAATTTGTTTATAACGTTCAAAAAGCACTTTTTTTTTTTTTTTGTCTATGTAAAAGGAAGATGTGTAAAATATGAGTGTGTGTGTGTGTGTGTATATATATATATATATGTGTGTGTGTGTGTATATATATATATATATATATATATATATATATTGAGAAAAATTATATTTGGAAATGAACTGCCACTCAGCACGTATTCACTCAATAGACAGACAGGATTAGTTGATTTTGTGCAGACTGCTTGGGATCAGATATCTTTAAGTCTATCACCTTTTTATTGCAGTGGTTTTTTTTTTTTCTTCTTGCACTGTACTGGTGACTTGCTGTTATCTGTACTATCTTTGTGAAAGAGTGCAAGAAAATAGCTTCTAAAATGTAGAAACCATCTATCACATATAGAAAGCAGACTGTCAAAGTGATATTTATTCCAAAATATGCACATTCTTTTCTTTAATGGATTCACACTTGATAATAGATTATGTAACTTGTTTGTCCGCATTCTAAATTTTAAGTATTTTCTTTCTTTGATTTAACTCATGCAGTTTGAATACTTAAGCACATTAAGAAAAATGAAGTCAAAATCATTTTCAATGTTATTTTACTCAACTTAGAAACACTGCTGTAGAGCAAAAGTGATAAACGGTTGATGTGAAAACCCCCAACAAACCCAAAACATTTTTTACCATGTAATGCCAATTATTAAACAAGTGGCTGGTGCTTTACACGAGATGAATGCAAAGGTAATTGTAAAGCCCTGCTGAATAATTTGAATGTATAGTAAATACGAACAATAAGTCAGGGAAGCCATTGCTTTAATTTTCATACAATACATATTACGCATAGAGTGCCAGTTTGGAAAGATAGCAAACTGCACAAATCTGAACCTCCCATGCAAAATATCTGTGACTATTACTTTTGGTCGCGTTTGCCAAATGTATATCTCTTTAAAGAGGAGTTGTTGCCAAAAGTTACCAATTTTAAATTTTTTGCAAAGAAATGACAAAGTTTAAACGTCAAAAATTTTGTGAATTGCTCAATCTGTTTATGTTCATGGACTGCAGTCTACTTCCTTAAAATTAATGGTTCCTTTATCTCCTTTCTTTATTGTAGGTCAGACTGGTTCAAAAGAAAGACACTGGACATGTATATGCAATGAAAATATTACGTAAATCGGACATGCTGGAAAAAGAACAGGTAATCTGTCCGTCTAGGTGATATTGATTCTCCCTCTTAGTTACAATTTTTTATATCTTCAGCTTCTGTAATATAAACGGCAATTGAGCAACTGCACATGTTTAAATTATAGTGGGAATTTTACTTTTGTGGCCTACAGACTGGGGTAGCTAAACCTCCCATCCATACAGCAGAGCAAAAAGGTGTCTGGGAAAACGCATGTTATTTAAAGCAGACTTTTTTATTAGAAGTGCCAATATTTTGGCTCTACATTTGAGCCTATTTCAAGCCATAACATTCTCACTGTACCATAGGCTTGAGGGAGGCTCAAATGTATAGCTTAAACCTTGCTGTTCCTTTCTTTGCTCAGCTTCTGTTAAACATGAAAATATTCTGTTAAGCTACTTTTTATGGTCTTTGTTTAGATACAGTATTTTCTATGTGAGTCTTGTATTTCATTATAAATTATTTATTAGCCAATATTAAAATGATCAGTTAAATGTAACTGGCAGTATCTTGTCTGCCATACCTCTCAAGTGTCATTATTCTGGTGCCACACTACTAAAATGAAATTTATTCTACTTTTGTCAATCTGAAATGTTGGGTAGCGTGGTCTTCCTTTTTAGTAGACACGGAATCTGTTGGCTTGATATTTTGTGTGAAATTTTGTATTACTTAGTTATATACACATAGGTTTCTTAATGATATACCAAATGGGTGAGCTAGAAAGGTAAAAAAATAAATTATTACAATTCATTAGAACGTAGGGTGGGAAATAAAAAATGCGCAAATATATGCTGTTCAGCAGGTTCTGTTACTTACTGGTTTGGTTAGCTCAGTGACACTAAACTCAAGAGGCCGCAATTGCACACAGCACCTGCCTTACAAAAAACTTCTTATTGAGCTGCATTGGAAGGTCTGTGAATGGACACAGTCTGGGCAGTGTTAGAAAGGGAAGGTTTTCAAAAGCTGCAGAAGAGAGATCGGCAGGTTTTGCAGACAGTCTTTAGATTTACCCTCAATGAAAAGATGCATAATTCAATACATTCAAGTCTCCATTTGGTGTATATCTACCAAACAGTGATTCTTTATTTTATATTCGGCTAGTGGAGTTTCCATTTAAGCATTTGAATGTCATTTTCCCTAGTAAATGATTAAAAAGATACGCCTGTTTTTTCATTGTGGATATTATTATTTTTTTCTAAGTTCAGAATTATTACTAAATCATTTATTTCTATAGTGTAAGTAGATCCTGACACACTGATAGAGAAGGTTTGTAGAGCCTGTTTACAATCTGAAAGTGAGTTTTACTTGCCCTTTCTTGCGAACTTGTTTATCAGGTTAGTTTAATTCAGATCACAGCAAGCTACATTTCTCTAAAAACTGTACCACAAAAAAAATAAACACTGATTACTAGGAATGTCTAACAAGTTCTGCAATAATGTCAAGCAAAAATTATTTATCTGAGTGAAACACCCCCTACAGCACAGCTACAGATTTGTTGTTGCTATATGTGCAAACTCAGGACTAGATTATTCTGGGACATCATGGGTGTAGAAATGGAAAAAGAAAACCAGTAAAAAAATAAATAAAAATAAATAAAAAAACACTGCTTGACTACGCTATTAAAGTGGTAACCAAACCTACTTGCCCTGACACACAAAATAAATTTAAAGGAACACTATAGTCACCCAGACCACTTTATCTCAATTACTGTATGTTTCAGCTCATTAGATATGCTTTCTTAAAGGGACACTATAGTCACCTGAACAACTTCAGCTTAATGAGGTTGTTCAGGTGAGAACTATGGCTCCCTGCAGCCTTTCTCATGTAAACACTGTATTTTCTGAGAAAATACAGTGTTTACATTGAAAGCTAGGAACACTTCCAGTTGCAGTCACTCACAGTGAACCAGAGGGACTTCGGAGTTGCTGTGCACGAGCATCCTGTGATTCAGTGTCTCCTCCCTCTGCATGCAGACACTGAACTTTCCTCATAGAGATTCATTGATTCATCTCTATATGAGGAGATGCTGATTGGCCAGGGTGGTGTTTGAATCATGCTGGCTCTGCCCTTGATCTGCCTCTTTGTCCGTCTCAGCCAATCCTATGGGGAAGCACTGTGATTGGATCAGGCTACCACTTCTGATGATGTCAGCAGACTGCTTGTTTTTCCTGAGTCTAACAGCATGCAGATTTACAGCTTCTGGCTTGAATACAGTAAGATTTTTACTATATTTATGGAGGCATGAGGGGCCCAGGGGGGCTAGATTGTCGTGTTAACACTATAGGGTCAGGAATACGTAGTTGCGCTGGTGACTATAGTGTCCCTTTTAAGCTCGTAAAAGCTTAATAGGAATAAAGCTTCCTTGACAATTTTGTGTGCCCGATCATCTGTTTATTTTTACCCCATTTAAAAAATAATACTTTTGCTGCAAATGCCAAGGTTTTCCAGTTTCTACTGTGCTGCCTGCTGTTCTCTCGGGCAGTCCTGTCCCTTCTGTTATTTTCATTGGGAACACTGTACAGGAATAAATAGGATGTGTAGTTTAGTTGACTTATTTCTATTTAAAAACACGCACGCGCGCCACATGGTAGTTTTTATTAACTGTAAAGTAGGTCCATTTGTGTGTTTCATGAATGTAATTGAAATTGCTGTCCATTCTTTCTCTAGCTGCTCCTCGTCACTTTCTCCTGGAAATGTTAGTTAAGAGGGTGGAGATGAGGTACATCTGCTCCCTCAAACCATACAAAACCATGAAAACATTTAAAATAAAAAATTGTGTTTCGTGGGAAGAGATGTATTCTTGCACTGGGGTCCATGGATAAAGTTTATAGAGCATGTGTATGTTTGTGAATTGACAGTGTCATTTGGCATTAAATTCACATTTCCTCTTTCACCATGAGTTGGGCTTCTGTGTGAAGTGTACAGTGTGTGCAGTAATGTTTTGGGAGCTTACTGATGAAAAGGAAGTGGTAAGATGGGTGTAACCGCCTAACATATGTCTTCTCATTGAATGTTTCACAACACAAACAAACTGTTCTCTTCCAAGACAAAACATGAGATATAATCACCCATTAGACGGAAATTACATTATAATGTTCAATCTACGTCCCCTTGCTTCTGTATACTGGAGTTTGAAGATAGATTTATTTTATTTTATTTTTTAAATCAAAGAAACTTCATTTTGAGAAAGCAGCATATTTTGAGGGGGGATTAGAGGGGAACTTTCACTTCAGGGGATTTTACACCATTGAATAAAGTACCTATTATTTCAGGTTTTTTTTTTGTTTTGTTTTTTTCTCTCATTTGGTGCTTTGATTTTCTTTTAAATTTATATAAAAGGTTTAGCTAATTATGGTACATTCTAATGTATTTCTGACAAGGCAAACACAGGGCAAACATTGCAAGTGACAAGGAAAACTAGAAATATATTGTTTGAATTCTCCTTTTCTCTGTAAATGGACTGTCAGATGCAAAGCACACATCTTATAATATTGACAGTCATATAAGATGGAGACACCCAGTTACAGGATAAAGGTGTGGATATATACACTGAACAAAATCTATAAATGCAACACTTTTGTTTTTGCCCCCATTTTTCATGAGCTGAACTCAAAGATCTAAGACTTTTTTACAAATCTGTCTAAATCGGTGTTAGTGAGCACTTCTCCTTTGCCGATATAATCCATCCACCTCACAGGTGTAGCTTATCAAGATGCTGATTAGACAGCATGATTATTGCACAGGTGTGCCTTAGGCTGGCCACAATAATAGGCCACCCTAAAATGTGCCGCTGTGCGGTGGATGGATTATCTCTGCAAAGGAGAAGTGCTCACTAACACAGATTTAGACAGACTTTTGAACAATATTTGAGAGAAATAGGCCTTTTGTGTACATAGAAAAAGTGGGGACAAAAACAAGTGTTGCGTTTATAATTTTGTTCGGTGTACATTTAGTCTTTAGAGGTTTTTAAAATAAATACATATTTCAAATAGGGATGAGGAAAGATACTTGAAGAAAATGTTTGTTTGTTTTTTCTCTCTGAAGTGAGTTCATCTTTAAAGCTAACGTAGAATATAAAGTTTGTGTTACTACGATCTATATATATATCTTGCACACCCATTTCATATTCTAGACAAGTAAGTTTGGATTATTCCTATGTAACATCAACTGCAAATGTTAGAATACAGTAGCTATATGAGATTGTTTGATACACTCGAAATTGTAAGAATGGAACTAAATAGGCTAAAAATATTACACAATTTAAAAAAACAGCGAACCTGGAGATTTTATTTTCCGTGTAGCTAATTTGGGCTAAAATAAGGAGTTTCCTGAATTGCTGAATAACCCCAGTTATTTTGTACTTATGTTTCTTAAATTATGATTCACAGACCAATATACCAACAAATTCAAATAATTATATTAACTCCTGTAATGCAAAGCACTTAAAGCCAGAGACCCAGAGTCCATGTTTCACTGGATGATGGCAAATGAGTACAGTTTTCTTGTAACATAGGGTGCAAAGCTGGATGGCAAAAAGGACAATATGTTGTATTTTCCTGTAAGCCAGGAGCGAAAGGTTTTTATTCACGGAGTCCGGACCATATAAGTAAATGAGTGTAAATTTGTGCTACCTGTGTAGAAAATTATGTGATTAAGCTTCCATGTTATCCCCCATATAAACAGCATTGTCCATTGTAATGTTGAACAGCACCTGAGGAAGACCACTAGCAGATGGTTGAAACGCGTTGTGCAATTTTTTTGTTTTGTTTTATGGAAAATAAATCTTTTATATATTTTGATGCTCCTGACTCCAACTTTCCACTAGAGGGTTATTTCAACAATTGGAGAACTTGCTTGAAGGGAGGAGGAAATCTCTGTCCTATTAAGTGACATAAAAGCTGTATAAGTTCCGAGCCTACTTCTAAACGGCTTAGAAAAGTGTGAGTGATTTCCGATCAAAATTCCCGCTTTATTGTGAATTATATGCAGATTACATTGTTCTGTTCTGTGTTTATATTTTTTGTATAGGCATATTTTTCTACACAATACTGAATATATTCTTCGTATAAAAGGAGGGGATATTTATTATCAGTTACCAACCATTATATTATACTACAGGTAACTACCTCCATCTTTCTGTGTGTGCGTTTACCTTTTTGTGTTTTACATAATGGTGTAGATGTGTTCATGAAGATGGTAAATGCAATGGTGTATGTGCTAAATACTACCTAATCCCATGTAACTTGCTATGTTATACGCTGCCTTAGAGAGGAAGCAACATGTTTAACCGTTTGACTTGTTAGAGAAGAGTGCTCTGTGACAATTCCAGGCCCAGATCCCCTTGCCCCCTTTCCCTTACCCATCTCTTTATGTGAAAGCCCTTTCTCTGTTTGTTTGTTCACCGTTCTTAACGGACCGTCTCATTCATGGTGTGTATTGGCGAGAGAGTCGTTGCACGAAGCTGTACTTTATGAAGTAATTGGCATTTTTTTCTGCATATCTTACACTGCAGGGTATTATGTCACACATCTTTCAACATGAGCAGCTAGTAAGCTATGCTAAACATTAATTAGGCTTAGGCACAGCTCCCTGCATGTTCCTGCCAGCAGTAGCACTGCTGTTGTGGTGTAGCATCTATAGTGAATTGGAAGACGTGTATCTACAAGGAAGCAATGTAATTATAGTGCTCAGTGTCTCTTTTTTTTTTTTTTTTTTTTTTTAAATACAACTGACCTTTGTGCTGCTAAGTTGCTTTCAGTTAGTAGCAGAGCGTGAAAGTATTTTGGCGCTTTAAAAACTGGTTCAGTAATTGATATTTCTAAGCAACCTTCCATCAACTGCTTGTTATAGGGCATAGGCCATAAAAAGAGACATTTAACATTCCTTGGTGTTAAGTACTTTATCAACACAACATGCTGCTCAGAAAACAAAAAATTGGCTTTGACCACGCTCAACTCTACATAGTCACCGTATTAAATTAGAATGCAGAGAGAGAGAAGGAAAACATTCTTACCCGCTAAGCATGGTTACTACCATTATTTTATCTTCATCGCAGTTCAAACTCCAAAGCTGTGGTGTGTTTTTTTTTTTTTAATTTTATTAAACATAAGAGTTTGAGATGGCTTTTTTTCGTTGTTTTTGCCATTTTTAAATATTTGTGTTTGATTTTTTGTTTTGTTTTTGTCTTGCTGCACAACTCATTGTGTTCATAGTCAGCTCACTGGAAATACTCACAGATGGAAAACGAGTGCAAGAAACAGGTTTATGTAATTACACCACAGATGCAGGTGCTGATAACCTGACTACTCACTCCAGTCATTGTTTGTCTTCTGAGAATCAAATTGGCAGTAAGGATATCTTGAATCCTGCCTAATGTTCATGTGTTTCAGTGCAGTGGTTTTAAAAAGAACTCTCAGAAAAAAAACACATTTATTTTACATAAGTTATTTGTGTTATTAAAGGGACGCTAGAGGCACTCAGACCACTTTAATCGCCACTGCTTCTTCCTCAGCATTACAAGAGGGAAATGCTCCATTTAATCTTGGCTCACATGTATGTACAAAACCGTAAAGTTTGGCATACAAGTTATTGGAGCAGGAGGCCTATCTGAATGAATAAGAAATCTACACCAGGGGGTACACTTACATCAGAGTTGTCAAACTGGTATCCTTAAACATTGCAGACATACTGGGTTTCCACGAGAACAGTGGATGAAACTTTCTTCAAAAAATTTTTTTAAACATTTTTGCCAATCCTTTCTGGTTCTGTAGCTGCAATCTAACAGCCTTTAGAAATTATTCTAAGTTTGACATGTCAGCATGTTATTCGTCATTGTCATGAAATTGTGGTCCCTCAATATTGTCACTTTCCATAGAAGTTTGCGCAGCACCTATATCCATGTATCTGGGTCAGTCATGTAAATTATTGTAGGCAGGCAGAACTCTAGGCAAATGGATGAGCAACTCACAAAATCAGCTTCTTCTTAGTAGCCAATATGTTATAATATAGTTTAGCATTAAAACCCAACATCAGTGGGTATTCTATCGAACCTTAAAGGGATACTCCAGGCACCCATGCAACTTCTGCCCATTGGAGTAGTCTCGGTGCCAACTCCCACTACCCTTAACCCTGCAAGTGTAATTATTGCAGTTTTCATAAACTACAATA